AATGTCAGCCAAAAAAAAACCAAAAGTAAATTTCGGTATAAGGAAAGCAGCGCACATTTTCACTTTATGTGTGCAGTCAACACAAGGAACAAGATTAAAAAGCTCTGATAAAGGATGAGTCAAGGCTTATGGCATACCCTATTAAAAATAGACTTTTATCGCTGATTAAACAAAAAGCGTAATGTGAGCCGAGAAATTCGACTTGCAGCTTATATAACCAGCTTAAGCTGTGGCTTTTACAGTTAAATGGATTTAAATGATTATAAATTTGCTTTATTTTTGGTAGATTCCATTTGAGCTTAAATAAAGCATACTATATACATAGTATTTTCATGCTTTAATTTGATTTAAACAATTTATAAGAATTTATATTAATGCAGTAAGTTAAAGAAAAGATTCGTATTCAACTAAAATCTGAACCCATTTGCTGAGCCGGCGAACTGTAGTTTCACGCTTCAAATCATACGCTTTGTTGTTACTTTAAAGTTTTTTACAAGACTGCCTATTCAGCTGTAGTTAAGTTAGCAACAATATTCACTTGAAAATCTAAATCCACTTGGAACTTAACTTATCCGTAGCCTTACGCGAGTTGCTCTTCCATGATAAGCCCTTTGCTTTGCAATGACAAACAGCTGGCTAAACTTATGATACCCTGCATTTAGAGCTCAAGCCGATAGCACTAAAAATCGATGTACTATGTGCGAGTCGAGTCCATGGCAATTTTCTCTCCATATTTCTCTGGCTGTTGCGAACGTGCGCGCCAAAGCGTCGCAGCCGCGTGCAGCGGGTGGTGCAGCAGGCTGCAGCTAGATGCTGCCGTTGTTGCTGTTGGTGTTGGTGTTGATGTTGTTACAGGAATCGAAACAGGGACAATAACAGGGACAGGGATGGGGATGGTGATGGAGGCAAACAATGAGAATGATGCCGCATCTCTGCGCATACGCTGCTAAGATTAGTGCGGAGTCGCCGTGTTGCAACTGGGAGTCGTTGCAACTGTAGCAACTTTTACTTATTGTCCGCACAGTTGTTTATTTCAATTTTGGTTTGCAATGCTTTTGCTTTTGGGTTTTGGGTTTTCGGTTGGGGTTAGGATCTGCCCGCTGTTGTTGTTGTCGTCGTCGGTTTTGGCTGTCTGCATTTAATGTGCCCAGGAACAGGGACGTGTTCTGCCGCGAATTCGTGAAACGTGATGCTGCTAGTCGTTCGCTTTTTTCGTTTGGTTGTGTTTGGTGTTGTTTATTTGCTTGGATTCTCTCGATTTCGGCGCTGCCCTTGCTTATTGTTTTAGGATGCGGATGCTGCCAGTGCCAGTGCCAGTGCCTCAGCCCATTGCCATTGCCATTGCCAATGGCACTGACTTTGCTCGCATTTGAATGCCTTTGCTGCTTCGCCATGGAGCTGTCCTTGTTATGGTGCCTGCTTGCTGGCATTGTTAACTCCAACGACGACGACGACGTCGATAATAGACAGCCAGACGGACGGGGGCACCTATTAAGGGTATCTAACATGAGAACTTTCCACCAAAGGGCCGCACTATGAAAATGAAAGCCAAATTGGCAACTTTCCGTTTGCCGCGAGAGCGAATGAAAAATGTTCGCTTTTGCTTGCGTTCCGTGTCCTAATTGGTGGGCCCCGCGTTTGTCGCGCCAAATAATAAATAATGGCACCTGGAGCGCCAACATGACAGCTAGAATTTCGACCGAACGAACCACAAAGAACTGAGCTTTTTTTCCATCATATACTGGACCCATAGACTAACCAGCCAGAGTCTGACTGAGGCCATTGACTGTTTGAATAGTTTAGTGAGTGACTGATTGATTGACGCGCGCTTTCAGCTGTTAACAATCTCATTGTGGCCACGTACACAAGTTGGCAATGTAATTAATTGCTTTCCAACCTGTGTATGCTGGAAAGTGTCCAAATCACAATGAGGCAACAGCAGCAGCAAAAGCATCAGCAGCAGCGACGACGCCCCAAGAACCCGCGCACTGCAAAGTGGGTCAAAGTTGTTAAGACAAACCCATCAGAATGCCAAGTTGCAAGAAAAAGTTGTCAGGCTCTGGTTGTGTGTAATGATATGAAAATTATTTGTTAAACGAGGGCTGCACAAATAGTTGCGCAAACAATTTTCATTGGCAACCTCCACCTCCCAGCCCCCGCTGCGAACGCTTGCAGCTGCTTTCAGTGCGGAGTTCAGTGAACCAAACCGGGCTGTAAAATTAACTAATTTTCGTCAGGGTATGAGTCAACGCGAACCAGCCTAAAACATCAATCAAAGCCAAATTAAGCGTAAAATGCTGTGCAGGAAACGAAGCGTCAAAGTCAAGACAAAACACAACACAAAGCACAACACGACACACACACACACATATAAGCGAGTGCAGTGCAAAAGGTTAGACCCGCACCAGGGAAGCAGAGCCCGCATATAGTACACACACACATACACACACACACACACTAGTATAGCTGTACTTCATGCTGCCTCCATAACATGGCCAAGACAATCAATCAAAGCGCGCTTTCCAAAGAAAGGCAGCCAAAAGTGCAAGCGCAGGCCCCAAACAAAAGTTGCAGCTAATTTTGGAGCAACAGCAACAGCTCCAGCTACAGCCCAGCTCCAGCTCCAGCTCCAATTGCAGCTCATTTGCATACAGCGTTGAGTTATGGATGGATGTTGGTGTGGGCTGCAGCCAAGAATTGGCACACGCACAAAGACGCTATGTGTGTGTGTGTCTTATGCAAATCTTTAAGCCGACAAACAGTTCCTGCTAAATGCACATTCGTACACACACACACACACACACACACACACACACACTCACCCACACACACACACACACACTCACCCACACACACATACGGCACGCCGTTATAAGACCGATTTCTACAAATTTGATAAAGCGACGCCGCCGAAACAAAAGACTTAGGCAACAAACTTGCATGTGATAAGGCAGCCGACGAACAAAACAAACATGATGCACTAACGGAATACCCTGGGCTAAATAGTAAATATAAGCAGAAAATAAATTCTGAAAAAATATAACAAAAAAGAAGAAAACATTAAAATAAACTAACAGTAAATATAGTTCTGATCAGGAAAAAATCAAATAGAAGAAACAGATTAAGTAAAACCAGAGACGAAAGAACACTAAGTGGAAAATATCATAAGAATAATACAAAAGTAATTAAAATAAGTAAGAAGACAAGAAGGTAGAGGAGAGGGGAAGAGACAGAGAGGCAAGCCAACAGTAGAATAGTTACAATGAGAAAATAAATAAGATAGAACATAAAATATTAAATAGGATAAATGTGGTTACAATCAGGAACTGAATATTCTATAGAAAATATATATAATATTGCTATAGATAGTAAATGAAATATTAAAAAGTTATCCTTTTCACAATCAGGATATTAATATTCTAACTGCAACAAGAAGCATATATGGTGCAAGGTTCTGATTGCCATATACTCCAAGTCAATATACCCTTTTCGAAACCGCGACCAGCCATTTGACGTTCTGCTGATGCGTTCTTGTCTCTTGTCTGTCTTGTGCCGGTCAAAGTCAAAAGCCGAACGTCGCAGTCAGAAACCTTTCGATAGGCGGCGCTGCTTTGGCTACGCCTTGACCGCAACAGCCCGACCAAAACATGCGCTTGGTTTGTTCTTTTTCAATTTAATAAATGTTTTTTTTTTTTTATTATTAAGCGCTACGTGCACGGCATATAAAACAGAAACTTGTTGCATTTCCCTCGGCTGCATTTGGCTGTGAATTTGTAATTTTGAACTGCGACGCAGATAGAAATTAAAAAACAATATTTAATCAGCGCACATAATCTGCATTTTAAAATTGAGCTCTCGGTTGAGTTGAGTTGAGGCTTCCAGGCGTGTTGGGTGTTGACCATTTAACGCGCTTACCTCCCCACCGCCCCTCTCCGAGCACACGCCGTGCCCTTGCCCTGTGAAAGAATTTCTTAGATTTTAATCGCTTTTTGCTGCGTTTTCGCTCGAAACAAAAAAAAAAAAGGTTCAGTTTAGCCGCTTGGCGCAAAGCCATAAAAATCAAATCAGCGGATCGGACGATGACGACGCTGACGACGACTTCCTTGAAATCAAAGTCGACTCGGCTCAACGTTTGATTCATTTGGTTTGTGTGTTTTTTTTTTTTCGGACTGCGGCTCAGAGCTGAGCTTGAGGCTGTGGCTGCGGCTGGGGCTGGGGCTGAGTGGGTAGAGCAGGGCTGGGGCTTGTTAATCCTTTGACGTGACGTCTGTTCATAATTTGCGCTCATATTTCATGTGCTATGCATGCGGCCTTTGCCTTCTTTTTATTTTGTGGTCCAGCTTTTACGAGTAGAACTTTGGCCTTGCGGCAATTTTGAAAGGTTTTCTGATTGAATATTCTAAAGTAACTTGTCGTAAATCATTGGCAGAGACAGCTGGCCAGTTCTTGTTCGGGCTGCTCTTGAACCCTTTTTTTTTCTATACATATATTTTTTGACCAGCCGCAACACTACATGGATGATATGCATATGTGCCGGACAATGGCAAGACGCCACATATTACATCAGCTCTAAATACTCCAGCCTTTATTGTCAAACAAATGGCACAGCTATTTAGCCCAAGAGTCCCACAGTCTGGATGCCGTTTGGTTCAGTCAACCCAACCAAAAGAAACTCACATTCTAAATGCCAATCGGTTGCTATAAATAAAAAGCCAAAAGCAGCGCTTGCTTTTAATTTTAATGAACCATAAAAATTCACACGCACAATGATGATGATGGGCCAGCAACAAAATATTACGTTTCCAGAAGGTTGACACACACGCACACACAGGAGGGTCTTACTGTGCCAATGAAAATGCTAATGAAATCCAAAGAGACGCTAACAAAACAAATCAACAGCCAGACCAGGGAGCTGGGATCTGGGAGTCTCGTTTTTCTCAGCAAACAAATCTGACAAAAATACAAAAAAAAAAAAAAAAGAAAGAAAAAAACTGAAAACATAAAAAAAAAGTCTCAAAATTCGAAAGAAAACTATTAAACAACTGTCCGACGCTTATCTCAGAGAATCGCTCGTACAGCGTTTGCTTAGAAATTAGAGCCCAAAACAAATGCCCCGAAAGTTGTGTGTGTGTGTGTGTGCAAAGAAAAGGCCGAACCCGCAGATCTTCAGACCGGTTTAACAGTGCGCTGTTAACTCGCTGTTAACCAGCTCTGTCAGCTGCCAGCTGCGACGCCAACTGCGACGCCGACTGCATTGTTCTGGGCACTCAACTCGGACAGCTCTCAGAACCGTAGCTCGCCGCATTTCATTAGCTCCGCAGCCAGCGACCGGTTCATTCCACTATCGACGTCGCTCCCAGCGAGATCTGTGCGCGTGCGCGGCTTCAACCCACGCGAGACGAGACGCTCGCAAGTTTAAAGCGAACTTCGACTTCGAGAATACATAAGAAGTGTTTAAAAGATTGAGATACTTGCCGATGCTGCCGCATATTCTGCGCGTTTCGTTTTTTATGCAAATCGATTGATTTTAAAAAGAAAAAAAAAGAAACAACAAGAAAACCACCAACAATCTTAAGTCACATTTTGTCAGTTCGACGCGTGAAAGTAAAAATTCTTTGTGCCTGATTTGGCATTGTGAAATTAACAGTTAGTTGTGTTGAACAAAAGAAATTTAGCTCTGAATACAAGAGCAACGTCTATTACGAAATGCTCATAAAAATCGCGTAACCAACAAACAAAAACAACAACAACAACGACGAGCAGTTAAACAAGGCAAATAGAAAACAAAATTCAAGTCGAGCAATTGCCGCCAAATGAGTAATGAGAGTTTACTTTTGTCTTTCTCTCAGTGTGTGCATTTATGTGTGTTTGTGTGTGCTAATTGATTGGCAAAAGGTGTAAATCTTTATTGTACATATTTAACGGCATTTTCCTTTTTTGGAGCAACCAGCAAAGTGATTGTCTGCATTAGAGGTGAGCAATTCAGCCATAAATATGTAAATGTCCGAAAGACATAATAAATATATCACAAAAAAAAAAAAAATATATATATATATATATATATTTATATATAATTTAAAAGTAATTAGCGTCATGCTCTAGAAATTGGGTTAAATGTGAAAATTATTATTATTGTTTATGAATGTGTGTGTGTGTGGCTTGTGTGAAATTTTCAGACAGCAGCTAATAGCGCTTGCCATATAAAGTGTCAAGAATGGTTTTTAAATTTAGGCCACTTCAATTACCAAAATAAATAATACATTTAAATAATACAAAATAATAATTTATATATAATTAAATTATTTTCATGGGCAATTATTAAAAAAATTGAATCAGAAAAGCAAATAAATTCATTAAGCTAAATAAATATTAAAAATATTAATAATTAATCAAATCTTGCCCTGAAGACGCTTTCGGATGTGCACTCAAAATATATCGAAAAAATAAAGATTGAAACAAAATTGTTTTTCATTGATGTTTTTAATAAAATAAGCCCAGACCTAGCTAAATACAGATTTGAAAAATGGAAAGGTCGATAAAATAAAAATTAAATATGAAAAAAAAAAGAAAACAAAAAAAATATTTGTTACTCAAAATCCGTTTACAAAAAAAAAAATTAATAAAATAATTAGTAAGGTTGATGAGCACCTTAATAACCATAAACAAAAACTAAACAAAAAAATAAAAGTAAATAAAAAACATAAATTTTCGATTCTATCGAGTGCAATAATAACAAACTATCTATACATAATATATTTAAATATAAATCTATAAAAAAAAGAACACAAAATATATATATACATATATAAAATATAAGCCGAGTTGCAGCCGAAATAAATCGATGAATTTAAACAAATTAGTTTTCAATTTTTTTAACAAATCAAACATCAAATCTCGAGTCAGCTTGCTAAATATTTATAAAATATAAACTTTATAAAAGCATAAAGAATTCTTATTATTTATATAAATAAAATAAAATTGTAATTAATAATTGCCCATGACATTTTCAGCATATTTTAGATTTTGTCAAAATAAGTCTGTATGTCTGATCTAATCTGATGCTAATTTAAATTATCTTGACAAATAGAAATTATTTAAATTAGAACTAATTGCTGCGGTATCTAAATAGTTTACGCACGGCAATAAAACATTTAAGCTAGCTAGAAAAAATTTTAACTCGAAAGTTGTTTGACCAAAAAGAGAGTTCTAAACATTTTTCAATATGCACCTTTCACTGTCTCGGCCATCCATAAGAAAAGGAATTACAACTATGAAATTTGTTTGGCGGGTTCATTATCAGCTCGATGATTATATGCCCATGGCCTATGCCCACTCGCTCAGCTGACAAGTTAATGGACTGTCGCGGCGTTGACACCAACGCACCGGCTTCTCAACTGCGGATGCTTTCCAACACTCAACATTCGAATTGTATTGGGTGTTTTTTCCTCACTTTTTTTTGTTTTTGTGTTTTGTTTTTTGACAACAAAGCCATGCAGCCGATAGCTGAAAATTTCACTTACAAAAAGGCAGGCGCAACATTTTCTTATTGTATTTTCATTTTTTCTGGGTCGAAAGCAAAGCAGCACAAAGCCCATCCTCGGCGAGTGCCAAGCCCAGGGCCAGCCCCAGCCCCAGCCTGTGCCAGTGCCAGGGCCCAGCCCCTGTGTCTATTTGTCTCTAAGCTGCAACATTTGTTTATAAATGGCAACGTGGTTGCCCAAAAAGGGATTTCCCTTTTTCAAATAACACACACACACATACACACACTCATACCATCAGCTCAATCAAAGTGAAAACTTTCGTTTCGTCTGTAAACAGAACTCTTACAGTTACAAAGTGTCAGCCCAAGGTAGAACACACATTGTGGCAACAATAAGCGACTCGTCGTCGGGCATAAATTAAACCTGGGCCTGGCCCTGCTCAATGAACTATAGCCCACCCCCCTCCCATCTCAGACGCCCCTCGAACGCCTCGCTGAGTGCCTTCAAAAGGCATAGTCAACGGTTCTTTCTATGTGCCACTGCCAGAAGATGCCACATATGCGACGCCTCACTCCAAATGTTACCAAATGTCGCTGCATTTTTCGGTTTCGATTTCCTGTGGTTCTGCTGGTTCTTGGTAGAGCCGAGCACTTAACCGGGTCTCCCTCTGTGCATGCAGCGCATGATTAATAAAGACTCAGCAATGGGTTTCCCACTCTGACCGGGCCGCGCTTTGTCGATTAGTAAGCACGTCAACATTTCAATAAAAAAGAATATGATGGAAAAAACACAAATCATTGGCGCGGGCAACCTCATCAACGTCACAGCAACAACATCATCGACAACAGCGGCAACAACAACAACAACAACAACAACAACAATATTACCCTTTTTGCCGTTCTGCGGCTTTGCATTTTAATTGCTTTTGATTTGCTGCCCCCGCCATTTATGAATCGGAATTGGAATTGGAATTGGAATGGGGCGCGTTCCGACTGTTAAATTTAGCATATGAATAAAACTGAAAAAATACGTTACATTCTGACTGCGCATTTAGATTGAGCCTATATATATATATATATGATATGGCTCATCATCTATTTACAAACCAGATGTTTGTGTATAAACAGAGGACACACACTCTCACACACACATTTCACATATATTTATGGCACGATGGCCACCGTCAAGGCCCAAGGCCCTTGAACAACATTTGTCAGCTGGATTATATTGATGCTACGGTATTGATATGATTTTTTTATTATTATGTCTGGTTCCAGTTGAGCAACAATGGGTTAACAGTTTAATGTGAATACAGTTTTCATGCCTTGAACGGGGAATTAAAAAGTGGTGAGTGCTGCAGTCGGGCGAACAGCTTAACTAAATAACGCGGGCAGGTATCCAAAATGTGAAATATTGCCAAGATATTTATAGCTTACGAAAAGATGCAAACCTAGTTTGATGTAAATAGCTTATATATTTCTCGAGCTTCGCATAGAATAACATTTTCGCACATTCGAAATGGTAAATGGTAGTGTTATGAAATGGGAGAAAGTGAAGATAAACTCGCATGCGTGTGGCTTAGGAGAATAATTAAATATAATCTTTTAAATCTTTAGCTTTATATCCTAGATGACTTTAGCAGATTGTCAGCTTCCTGCGTCCTGTTCAAAAATATCTATGTATTCTTTATGGAATTGTAGTTGCTTCCTTCTGCCCCCTACGCAGATTTGCACACACGCAATTTTTACGCTTAAACCATGCTCATTGTGTTTAGGGTATTAAAAACCTGGCCAAGTTTTATACCTACTCATTACTCAAAACAAAACCCAAGAACTCTCTAACCCACTCAGCCTATCAAAGCTGGCCACAACTTTTGGTTTCAGTGCAATAACCTTATGTACACATAATGCCCATAAACAACCTTCTGGTCGCACGCCTCCCACCTCTCCAAAAGCCTAGAATGAAACCCCAAACAGACTCAACGCCTTTCGCACACACACAGAAAGGGAGCAAAAACTCAGAACTCTCAACTTGACAAATGAAAGCAAAAACCAACTGTCCAGCGATATGAAAACCAAGAGCGTGCAGAAAAAAACATAAATGGGGAAAAAAGTCAAGAATGGGCAGCGCGTTAATTTTTCATGGTAGACAAGAGAAAAACCATATTATTTCATTATTTACATCAGGGCGACTAAGCAAACGAGAGCGTCAGGTGGGGCAGCAGGAGGGGCAACGTTGTCCGTTTGGCCGGCGCGTCATTAGTCACACCAAGGGATTGATATAAAAGACGACAACAACAACGCGAACAAGAGTAAGAGCAAGAGCAAGAGCAGATCCGCGTGCAAAGCGGATAAAAAGTAATCAAAAGCGTTAAGAACGACATAATAAGGCAACCGAGCCCAGGACTAGCCGAAGCCCGAGAAGCTCAACCTGAAGCTGGCCAAGATGTAGCTGCAGCTGAAGGTATATTCTTCGCGGCTGCTTGACAAAACGAATATGAAATTAAATAGAGAAAAGTGTAAAGCAGTTTCAGTTCCAGCGAATACGCGCATTATATTCCATTATATGCATCAGCCTCGACGTCGCTGTCGCAGTTGCAGTTGCAATGCAGTCGCAGTCAGCTCCAGCGTCGCGAGCGTCAAGTGCTGCGTTGGCGTTGAAGCGGCAACAGCACGAGCTGCTTAGCCGCGTAAGCAGCTTGCCGCAAGGATGGGGCGCGCAATTTTTAAGCTGCAGCTTAAAGTGGTGACAACAACAACAACAACAACAACAACAGCAACAAATAAAGCAACAACAACAACAACTAAAGCAACAACAACTACTTGGCTTGACTGTGGTTCTGGCTCTAGCAGTCGAGTTGAGTTGCATTTTGTAAAACTCTTTAGTGTGATTAATGTGCCCAGACACACACACACACACACAAACACACGCATTGCTCCAACTATGCAAACACACGCACACATGTGTTTGCTTCCTTTTATGAGCTGCGGCTGCCTGACCTGCGACCGGGACGTGCTCCTTACACTTTTCCTTTTTCCTTCTTATTTCGGCTGGCTTTGCGCGTCTGTTGCTTTTGTTAGCTAAACAAAAGCCACCCACATGTATCCACACCCTGGTGCACACCTATGCACAGATTCTGTTTGCTTACACACACACACACACAGATGCACACTCATGTACACACACACACATTTGTATACACTGTCACGTTTGTGCTGCCCTAGTCCTTTTGAACGCTGCTTTTATCGCGCTTACTTCTACTTATATACACTTTCCCAGGTCGTAATAACTTGTTCATTAATAACAAAACTTCACACATGCTGCAAGTGAGTTAATGTTGTCTTTTATGCTGATAAGAAAGGAAGGGTAAAGGTTGTTATAGTTGCCAACACTTGAGTTTAGTGCTGCAAAGGCATCCAAAGAGCATATTTGAGTGTTGTAAAACTATAGTTAACGCAGAGATAAGCCTTGAGCTTAGTGCTGTAAAGGTATACAAATAATTCGAGTGTCTGCTGTTAATATCGATTATTTCTTCTACTTTCGATAGTCATTTTTCTCTAGCCAGAAATGTTTTTTTATTTCTTATATATTAATTTTAAGCGTTACTTCTTTAGAAGAAAGAAAATTGCAAAGTACCTATATTGAAATGTAAATTCTTTTTAAGCAATGTGACTATGTGATCGATAAAGTAATCGATATAGTCCTCTTATACCTATCGTTCTTCTACTTGCACTTACAAATGTATAATAATAAACCCCAATTGTATTCATAGAATATATCATTATTATATATTTTCGCTGCTCTCAGAACTAAAATCTTGTATCACAACTTTCTATAACATCGACTGACGCAACAGTAAGAGTATTTAAGAGTCGTTGCATCATTTAAAACTCTTGCTTATTTTTGGTTTTTTATTGCTTTCCGTTTCGTTTTTTATGTGTGTACCTGGTGTGCTGTTGTTGTTGTTGCTTTGTATCTCATTATGCGTGCGGCTTCTTCCCCAACTATTTGCTGTTGCTGTCTGCGTCTTGGGTTACATATTTCATATTTCATAGCCAGAAGACGAACGGCATGCAGGGTGGACGAGGGTAAGGAGAGTCGGACGAGATGTTGTCACTTTTCCTGTAGCTGGTTCAACTCAACCCCATTGGAACTTGGCTGCTTCGTTTGCTCAAGTGTTTTGCCTGCGGCTTTTGTTTTCGCCCTTCTGGGCAGGAAACAGCCGCAAGAGCAGCAACAGGCTCAAGAGGTTGAATTCAGCAGAGCCCAACGTCATCGTCATTGAGCAACGAAAACCTGTGGCCAGGAGCTTGAAAAGGATTTCATGTTTATTGCAAGTTGTGTATTTTCCTTTTGCATGCCTGCTTATTAAAAACAACAGCAGCAAAAAACTAAATAAAATACAACTTTTTGTGTGGCTTCTGCTTCGATGTTGCAACGTGTCAGCCGCAAGTTAAATGAGTTTCTCCTTTTTTCTCTGCTCTTATTATTGTTGCTGCACAGGAAGTTGTTAAGTGTTGCCCTGGCAGCAGCAACAGCAACAGCAGCAGGAGCAGGAGCAGAGGCAGCAGCAGCAGCAGCTGTCTGAGTGCCCTGAGCCTAAGCCTGTGCCACTTACTTGCCACAGCCAATCCAGTCCAGGGGCGCCACTAAATTAATTAAGCCATTCTCAATGAAATCGAGTAAAATGCGAGGCGCAACTGTGAAACTGTGTCATGCTATAAAATCCAACAAAAAAGAAGAGAGAAAAGCAAAAAAAAAATAAAAATAATAGCATCAGCGAACAGGCAAGTTAAACTCCAGACACGTACGCGCCAGGAAGCCGTATCCAGTGCCAATTGGAGTCAGTCTTGGCCAATCCTCCAGACTGTGGCATCAATTTTTGTCCAGTAGCCGAGAAAATGTCACGTTTCGCCACATAAGTTACGAAAAACCGTGAGAATCGCTGTGTTAGTTTTCCTGCCGCGCCGCGGAAAAGGTACTTTCCATGGTGAAAATTAATTGCTGGCTGTGTTATCGTCGTCTAAGACACACAGTCGGCCAAATTAATTGGAAAGCAGTGCAAATATAAAAAAAAAAAAAAAAAAAAAAAACAAAAACCAAGAAAATAAAACTAAACTCAAAGTAACACAGAAAAAAAAAACGCTGAAATTGAGCTGTTTTTTTTTTGCCAGCACTCACAATGGCTTTTCCAACACTGGCAGCACATAAAAATTTCAATTAATGCCCGCTTAATGTACAGCACGAAATGTTTTATAACATTTTGTGACTGCACTTTTTCCACACATTTCTTGTTCTTGCTCTTGTTGAGGCAAATACCTTTTAGCCGTGGCCCGTAAATTGTTTATGAGCCTCGCTCAGTTGAGTTACTTTGCCAATGCATATTCCATGCTCTGTTGCCCAGCCACGCCTCAATTGTGGGCTGACTTAACATTTACCCTTTTTCACTCTTTATTTTTTTTTACTATCTAATTTGCCAACTAATTTAGTCAGCGTTTGCAGCCAGACAAACAGACTAGTCGCCACATTGTTGACCAGTTCAATGGAGTGCAGGCGCGCATGTCTCGCCTTGGTAATCAGCCACATTTATGTGGGCTCATAAATATGCAAATATCCTTTAAGTACTTTTAATGTCTGGCCATTTGTTGGCCCGGCTCGGCTTATGGCCAACTCCTACTCCCTACTCCCTGCTCCCTACACTGCCTAATGGTCTTAATGGCATGTTTGGCATTGTCGTAGTCAACTTGGATATTTACATGCATCTTGTGGCTGCCTTTTTCGCAGTGCAATTTCTTTTCAACTTTATGAGCTCATAAATAACACCTATATGTACGTATGTGTGTGTGTGTGTGTGTGTGTGTGTGCCTGCCTGGGCGTAGGTTGTGTGAGAACTTGGCTGATTTTCTTTTTTGTATGAGGGAAATCAATGTTGCCAATGCAAGTTTTGCAGAAATTGTTTATGCAGTTCGCGATTTGCAAACTTCAGACATTTACAATTTTTGCCGGAGTTGAACCAGCGACCTATCGCGAGACACATAGCCACACAAGCTCTTGACGACACGACACGAAGCACATTTTTCTGGCTACGTTCGATGTTTGATGGGGGACACTCTTTTATAATTAAAGATAACTCAAAAGACTTTTTTATAGCAGCTAAATCTTCGAGTAACCCTCGTACTTTTAAGTTTCCACAAGCGAGTCAAGAGATCGCTTTGATTAGGGCAATGTATAGAAAAAACTCGTAAACATAAAACCTTTTTGCTAATTGAACACAACAAACTTGCAGGACTTGCCGCTTAGAGGGACACAGGACTTGACTAAGCTGCAACAACAACAACAAGCACAACAACAACAAGAAGATTTCGCACACTGTGGCCAGCGGGAGACGAGCAACAAACCGAATGCAGTATCTCAACTACGCACTGCAGACATCCACGCGACTGCTGACCAGCCAGAGCCACAGCCAGAGTCAGAGCCAGAGCCAGAGCCAGACGAGCCACAATCAGCAGCAGCTGCGCCAGCGTCAGCGTCAGCGCCACAGTCAGACAGCGGCCATTGAGGCAGCGGCGGCGGCTAGCACGCCCATTGAGGAGCAAATAGCGCACGCCTGCTGCAGTCGCGGTGCCCAATTGCTGCGACTGCGCCAACAGGAGCTGATCAAGCGACGCGCCCTCGAGCTAGAGGATCAGCTGAACGCCAACGACGCCAGCTGGGATAGCGATCCGTGCAGCAGCGAGCCCGAGGAAGGCGCTGTGGGCGGTGGCCAGCAGAAGCAGGAACAGGATCAGGAGCAGGATCAGGAGGAGGAGAACTCCAACGAGTCGTGTCAGCCAGTCCAATGAAATTTACTCTCATTTAATGTTCAACTGGCGCGCAGCAAGCTGCTCTCGTTCTTTAACCGCGACATGGCCGCCACCGATGGCCAGATCATATTGGCCGCATCCCGTTTTGGGGATGCGACGCCCGTTTATTTGCGCGACTTCTCCAAGCAGCCGCTGCCGGCGGTGGCCAAAATACTTAAGGGCCAGCATCAGGCGCTGGGCGTGCCCACCCTATCGGCGCCCTCGCTCCAGAGCACGGCGCTCTTTTTGAGCGCTGGCAAAAAATATCAGATATTGGCGCAGCCCATCAAGATCAAGGAGGGCCGCAAGCCCACTAACGTGGGCGCCAAGGTGCTCATACCGGAGACATACGGCGGCTATTTTGAGCTGCTCAGCGAGGACGGACGCTCGACGCGCTGCATCGATTCCGTTCTGGAGCTGGCCAGGCGGCGCAATGCCCGCGTCCTGGTGCGCGAAACATTTCGCTGCCAGCAGATGAATCGCACCATACACGCCGGCGAGCTGTTGACCACCATGAACGACAACGGCAAATATCTGCAGTGCCGCAATATCAAGGACGAGATCATCAATCTGCCACTCGATACCAAAGCCAAGTTCTCGCCGATTGCGCGCGAGGACAGCATTAGCGGAGTGCACACCGTCAAGAATCTGCTGCTCAAGCGGATGCCCGTCATTGTGAGGTGAGTGTCAGACCAGAACAGTCGTAACTAAGGGGTATTCATTTATTTATAGGGTATTCTAATTTGTCCAATGTCCGATCCCGTAAGGGGCTATTTCATGAATCCGTCCTAATGGTGCACTTATATAAGATAGGTCCCCTTTTTCCTGCTAGCAGCCATAATTCTTTAAACCTTAATCACATGTACATATTTTATTTCCTTTTACCTGCGCGCAGACTCGTCCATGGCAGCGCGCCAAAGGGCCTGAAGCAGCCTTTTGTGCCGGAGCTGCGGCTGCTGGGCTGCGTGGAGATCGATCGGATATTCGCGCTGCCGCTGCAGAAGGACACGGATCTGGTGCCGGTGCCGTTGAATGCAAAGATTAAGCTGCAGCGCGTCAAGAATATGGAGCAGCTGGAGCATTTCATAGAGTATACGCGCTTTCTGGACAAGGCGCAGCGACTGCTGGCGGACGCGCGGGATCGCCTGCAGATTGTCGATCTCAAGCTGAGCGAAAAGGAGAAGAAGGACTCCAAGTTCAGCAGCCGCAACAGCGGCAACAGGCTGCCGGTGGTAATGCTGCCCTCCGCAGCGGGCCTGGCCAGCGGCTGGGTCGAGAGCGGCTATGTGCTGCGCAAGAGCGCCAGCTGCGACTCCTGGTCTAAGCAGCAGCAGCAGGCGCTCAACAGCGCCGACATCGCCGAGGAGTACAACGAGATCGATCACATCTATGACTATGTGCGCGGCCTGACGCCGCTATCGAAGGGCCTGTCGCGCTTCGAGCCTATCTGCGAGTCGCCCACACTCAAGTCGCATCACACGGACAGCAGCGGCAATGGCAACTACTGCAGCCTGATACGCGCGCCGGCAGCTCCTGCTGCCGCTGCCCAGTCACAGCAGCCCAGCAGCAACAATAACAACAACAACTACAGCAGCCTGGAGTCGAACAAGCATAGCAGCAGCAACGGCGGCGGAGGACACCATCATCCGTACCCGCACCATCAGCAGCCGCCGCAGCAGCAGCAGCTGCTGCATCAGCATCACCATCATCCGTCGGCGCTGCTGGTCAATCACTATCATCACAGCCATATACAAGAGGATATCAAGCCGGTGCCGCCGCCCATTGAGACGATACCCGGCAAGAAGCCGGCCGAGAAGCGGCAGCGTCCCACATTACCAAAGCTTTACATCAAGAATGCGAATGCGCACAGCGCCGGCAGCAGCAGCAATGGCAACTCCACCGGCACCGGCACCAGTCACAGTCACAGCCATAGTCACAGTCACAGTCACATTCACAGTCAGAGCCATTCGCAGCAGCAGCTGCCGCCAACGCCGGGTAGCAGCAGCAACAACAACAACACGGCCGCCATTGTGGCCAGCGCCGCTGCAGCAGCGGTAAACGCTCACCACGCCCACTCGCACGCCCATGCACACCACGCACACACACACCCACACGCACACCCACACCACGGCAAGGTGCTGACGCCCAACAATCATTTGCCCGTTAAAGAAACGCTGGAGCCGCAGTCGCCGCTGTTTCATATCAGGTAAGCAGCAAGCAGTTGCTACACTTACAAAAAAATTTTACTACATTTAAGAAAATCTTCGTAAAAGTAAATTTAACTTAACTTCCACGCATTTTATTTTAGTTTTGTTTTTATTAATTCTCCAAACAATTTATTTTATTCATTTTTTTCTCAGTGTATGGGCAACCATACTGAAATAGTCCAGTTAGAGTTAAGCGAAATGTCTAATTGGAAAATCATTTAATTGTCTTTAAACAATATTGCCGCCACAGATACAAGAGCCTCAGCAGCCTGCAGCTGACGCCGGACAGCAATACAGGGGCCATGACGCCGCCGACGATCTCAGCCAAGGCAGCAGCAGCCGTAGGGGGCGGGGGCGGTGGCGGCTCACAGACGCCGCCCGATGTGGTGCTCAAGTGCGGCAGCATACTCAACTCGCACGGCTATCTGGCGCACAGCCGCAGCTCGAGCAGCAACAACAACAACAATCACAACAACCATAATCCGCGCGAGGGAACGCTGGACTCGTCGCGCAGCGGGGGTCGCACATCGGGCGATTCACAGAAGCTGCCGGAGAAGAAGACGCGACGCTTGTCGCGGCCGCGCAGCCTCTCCAATCTAGTGTGGGATCTGCGGCCATCTAAGGAGAAGTCCAAGAAGAAGCTCTATGTGCATCATTTTGATCAGCGTCAGCAGGCGACGCTCTATCTCTAGGATGTCAAAAGGGTTGCCGAGCTATGCGGAGTCGAGCTGGAATGGAGTGGAGTGTAATGGAGTGGAGTGGAGTGGACCAGAGTGGACTGGAATGAAGTGGAGGAGATTCGTTGCCAAATCGTTTCGCTGCCATCAACGACAAACCCACAGACAACAACAACAACAACTACAACAAAAACAACAACAACAAGCATCAGCAACATTTAGCGCTGTGTGTGTTCCTGCAGGTGAGCAGAGGCTGTGCTTCGAGGGGTTTGTGGTTGGGCGAACGGGGGGCGTGGCAATGCAAATCGTGCAGCCCTATGATTGTTTTGCTTATTAAATTCGTGCAGCTAACCTAAACTAATTTCCTCTCTCAAGCTGTCTCCAATCTCATTCGCTCTCCGTCTCTCGCATTTACTGACTCCCAGTCTTCCTCTCTGTTTCTCTCTCTCTCTTTCTCTTGCAGCTTTCACCATTTTAGCTTGCAGCAGCAATTTTAATTAACAATTGAATTGTGCCTTCCCCTGCGCCCAGAACTATGCTTTAAACAAAAATTCCACTGAAATATTTTTGAAGAATATTTTGCCTGGATGGACGAAAGAGAACGAATAATGAGAGAGACGAAGATACAGTGAAGAAAAATGACGGAAGAACCAAACAAAACCAATCACATGAAGCGCTGACAACACACACACACACACACACACACACACACACACACACACACACACACACACACACACAGACAAACACACACACACACACACACACACACCTACACACACACACACACACATCAAGTCTATAAAATTGTGATTTTAATTTTATGTTTTATTTAATATTATGCGACACTTTTAGTTAATATTTTTAAACGAGGCGATGTGGCAAGGAAGGAAAAAACAAAACATAAACAATTAAAAAAAGCCATTTATCATTTTGCTGTCGCTTCCAGTTTGAGTCACATTTAAATTTTACAAAATTAACGAATGTTGTAACTAAGCTTAAACAAAAAAAAACATAAATATAGCTTAAAGCTCGTCTTGCAAAAGCTGCAACAAGAGAGGCAGAAGAAGAAGCAGCAGCAAAGACAGCGGCGAAGGGAGCAGACGAAGGCGCCCGCAGCAATATCAAAATACACACATATATAAACAAATACATATACATATACAATATGCATATAAGTATATTATATAGATAAGTAATATAACATATATATATATATATATCTCGTACATTATTTAACTAGAAGAAGTTATGCAAAAGCTGCACCTACAACAGCCACAACAACAATAACAACAACATAAACTATGCATATTTAATGTTATATTCAAATAGTTGAAATGAATTTATTAATTTCTCCTCATAATTTAAATGTTGTTTCGTATGTTGTGCATTGTATTTCGTGAAACTGTATTCGTAATTGTTTATAATTAATGCAATTTAATTACAATTACAATTACCTATTCTCTTGTTAGTCTTTAGTTGCACAGAGCTAAGCGAAGCGAAAGAGAGAGCAGGAGACGGAGATAAACTAACTAGTTCCCTCTCACTTTCGCTCCGGCTCTCGCAATGCATTGTCTTAGTCGTTTAGCGTGTATATTTTAGTTATTACAATTATATCGCTTATATAGCATACGAGCATATAGTACTCTATATGCTATAACTACATTCTATTTGTGTCTAATAAATGTCTCAGAAATATAAAAATTGTATATGCAAAATAACCCGTAATTCCCTCGACCGCTTGTGGGCGTTATATTAAATGAAAGCAATTGGAACAGCTATAGAAATGAGAATAATTTCTATCGTTTGTTTTACGTCAACAATTGCAGCTGCAACAACTATGAGAAAATGTAATAACTAATTCTAATTAACCAAATTGCGTCTTGAAAGTTGCTCAAGCCATAAATGAAGCAACAATGTGGGAATTGCGCAGGTATTAAATAATTATAGTTTTTATCATATTATACGCTGGAAAAACTACAAATACGATAAGGCATTATTCGAACTAAAATATCTGTGTTTTCGGCCTGTTTTCCTATTCCGATCGAATCCTTGAATGCCAATCGATAGTCGTGCTTCCCAGAGCAGAATTATGGCCAAAAAACGAATGTCCTTTTTAGAAAAATGGCCATAACTCGGCCATATCCTTGCACATTTTCGCAGGACATGGTGCGTTAGGATCGTAAGGACCAGTTGTATCGATCTGCATCAAAATATTATGGGGTCATCTAAGAATCCTGTACTTGTAAAAATTTTCGGCCTCGATTTGCAAGGAAAACAGGCCAAAAACACAAAATCCTTCATATCTTAGAAACTACAAGGACGATTTTGATGGCCTTTGGCCTGAAGATAGCCCTGGTCCATACAATTCATTTGACACAGGACTCGTCAGGATACGCAAGGATATAGCTGAGTTATAGGCCATTTTGTGTTTGAAAATTTGACATTTTTGCTCCGCCGTTTGAAGGACTTTCGTCCTTTTTATTGCTAATTCGTAATTGGGGGGACGACGACTATCTACTGTCCAAAGGACATCATGATAGTCCTTAAAATGGCCAAGTTAGCCCGGATTTTATTGATTTTTGCCGATTTTGTGAGCAACCCCCTAGGAAAATTTTTTTGCACATTTTTGGTCAAATCCTGGAAATCCTTGAATGCAAATCGATAGTCCTGCTCCCTACGAGCTCAAAAAGGTATATCCTTCCGCTATCCTTTAGGATTTGACAGGGTTATGACCAAAAAACGAATGTCCTTTTTAGAAAAATGGCCATAACTCGGCCATATCCTTGCACATTTTCGCAGGACATGGTGCGTTAGGATCGTAAGGACCAGTTGCATCGATCTGCATCAAAAAATTAGGGGGTCATCTAAGAATCCTGTACTTGTAAAAATTTTCGGCCTCGATTTGCAAGGAAAACAGGCCAAAAACACAAAATCCTTCATATCTTAGAAACTACAAGGACGATTTTGATGGCCTTTGGCCTGAAGATAGCCCTGGTCCATACAATTCATTTGACACAGGACTCGTCAGGATACGCAAGGATATAGCTGAGTTATAGGCCATTTTGTGTTTGAAAATTTGACATTTTTGCTCCGCCGTTTGAAGGACTTTCGTCCTTTTTATTGCTAATTCGTAATTGGGGGGACGACGACTATCTACTGTCCAAAGGACATCATGATAGTCCTTAAAATGGCCAAGTTAGCCCGGATTTTATTGATTTTTGCCGATTTTGTGAGCAACCCCCTAGGAAAATTTTTTTGCAAATTTTTGGTCAAATCCTGGAAATCCTTGAATGCAAATCGATAGTCCTGCTCCCTACGAGCTCAAAAAGGTATATCCTTCCGCTATCCTTTAGGATTTGACAGGGTTATGACCAAAAAACGAATGTCCTTTTTAGAAAAATGGCCATAACTCGGCCATATCCTTGCACATTTTCGCAGGACATGGTGCGTTAGGATCGTAAGGACCAGTTGCATCGATCTGCATCAAAAAATTAGGGGGTCATCTAAGAATCCTGTACTTGTAAAAATTTTCGGCCTCGATTTGCAAGGAAAACAGGCCAAAAACACAAAATCCTTCATATCTTAGAAACTACAAGGACGATTTTGATGGCCTTTGGCCTGAAGATAGCCCTGGTCCATACAATTCATTTGACACAGGACTCGTCAGGATACGCAAGGATATAGCTGAGTTATAGGCCATTTTGTGTTTGAAAATTTGACATTTTTGCTCCGCCGTTTGAAGGACTTTCGTCCTTTTTATTGCTAATTCGTAATTGGGGGACGACGACTATCTACTGTCCAAAGGACATCATGATAGTCCTTAAAATGGCCAAGTTAGCCCGGATTTTATTGATTTTTGCCGATTTTGTGAGCAACCCCCTAGGGAAATTTTTTTGCAAATTTTTGGTCAAATCCTGGAAATCCTTGAATGCAAATCGATAGTCCTGCTCCCTACGAGCTCAAAAAGGTATATCCTTCCGCTATCCTTAAGGATTTGACAGCGTTATGACCAAAAAACGAATGTCCTTTTTAGAAAAATGGCCATAACTCGGCCATATCCTTGCACATTTTCGCAGGACATGGTGCGTTAGGATCGTAAGGACCAGTTGCATCGATCTGCATCAAAAAATTAGGGGGTCATCTAAGAATCCTGTACTTGTAAAAATTTTCGGCCTCGATTTGCAAGGAAAACAGGCCAAAAACACAAAATCCTTCATATCTTAGAAACTACAAGGACGATTTTCATGTCCTTTGTCCAGATGTATGTGTATGTGTGCATGCTTAAAATTCCTTTTTCTGAAATCAAAAAATTTTAATGTAAATTGTAATACTATGGACCTCGAGTTCAACGCACCTGATCTGCAGTTCGGGATTCAATTACCTGACATGTGCTCATTTCACGTACGTATATTTCTGGACCATTTGTATGCATATTTTGCGTATATCTACTTCTTTAGATTCACTAGGACAATATCTATGATATGGTATAATTAAGGATATTCAGGTCAACTAGGAACCAGTGAAGGCTGTTAAGACCGGCTGAAAGTAAAATTATACATATTTCTCGGCAAATTTTTTAATTATTTACAAAAATTCGGGTATTTAGGTTCGCCAGGACTATATCTCTGATATGGCATGATCAAAGATATGTGGGTCATCTACGAACCATCAGCATTGATCGTTGATGCGCTCGTTGCGCGCTAAAGGCTTCAAAGAATTTCCGTGAAGCTTTGGAATCGTGGAATGATATGCCTTTCTGCGCACAGAGTGTTCTATAGATTAGATGTCAGTTCCGTAAGGACTTTTATCTGAAATGATAATAATATATTAAAATACAGCCAGGAAATAAAACTATATATGACATAAGTAAACCAAATTTTAAATTGCTACAACTCGAAAAGATTGATCGTGGAATGATTTATTTTTATCGGCAAACGATATTTATGATTCGTTTTCGTTTATTTAAAAAAAAAATCTTATCTTTTCCAGTTGAGATATTCAAAAGATATCTTAAAAAACCGCAAGCAACTATAAAGAGATGTTGGAAAATCGGTTATTAATTTGATTTAGGATGATTTTTGCTGGCGGCGAAGCATTACTAAAGTACTTGAAGTAGATATTTTCAGTCTCGGAATTTCGATCTGAAAGGGCTTGTTTGGAATCAAAATTTGAATTTTCAGATTTACGTCCGCAGAACGCAGAACATTCTCATAGAACATTTTCCACCTGAGCTCTCTCTCACTTTATATGAGAATGTCCTTATATTAAATGGAAAATTAATCTAAATATCACTGTTATGTTCTCTGTTCATAAGGTTGAGTATAAGACGCACAAAGGAAAGGTAGCCTCTATTTCCTATATTTTGTCTTACATATGTTCATTGTAGAATTTAAAGAAACTTATTTTCCAGGAGGCTTCAAATATAAACAATTACAAATTTCTTCGATTCCCTTTGCCTTCTCTATAGAGTTCAAAGACGACAGCATTAGTTTTATGACCTGTTGCTCCTTATAAACAAACATTGGCTTACACTGAGGTTAACATCAATAACAACAACAACAGAAACTATTCAGTTAAGCGTTTAAAGCACACAATAGTTAACTGGCTTTTACCAAATGGGGAGCATGGCCAGGTGAAAACTGCGCAATTGCTGGCGTTGTTTTTGTTTTCCCAGTTCGAATAACGCAGCGA